AACCTCTCTTTATAAGCCTTGAGATTTGAGTATGTCACAGAACTCTGGTGGAGCACAAGACCCAGAAAGGTTTGGAGAGGCCAGACTCCCCAGTCATGCTGCTAAGTTCCAAAGAAACAGCCCCATTTTCCAAAGAGCTGGTTTACAGTGCCTCTGGCCTATAGCCTGCAACCAAAACCATCTACCAAAAAAAAAAAAATCCAAGAAGAACCAAGCAATAGTAGTCCCTGGACAGAAAGGCTCAGCTGTCTGCCAACGTCAGTACTGCCAACAGATCAGAAAGCTACCCTGCGACTCAGCCCCAGCCCCGCTCTCAGCTGTGGTCCCAGCTTGTGACTGTCACACAAGGACTAGAGGAAAATTCACCCATATCTCACAGCCCAGGAGTTACTCATATACCTGAGCCCATGTCACTGATTCACCAGCCTCCACCCCACAGCAGAACCTGCGGTGGCCCAGTCTTGGCTCCACCATCTCTTGTTGCGATCAGTGAAATACCTCATGCAGGGCCATGCTGAGAAACATGCAACCATGGAGCCGAGAGAGGGCTCTGCAGCCTCTGTCGCACAGCAAACCTTGAAGGGGTGCAGTACCAACTGCAGCCACTCATACCATAGCTATGGAACTGACAGGTGCACATCCATCTGAATCAATGAGACAGGTTACCAGCTTCTAACCTACAGCAGATCTTGAGGGCATACAGTCTCAGCACCACCCCTTCTTGCTGCATTTGATGAACTGTTCCACCTAGGCAGGGACTCACAGGGAAATGTGCACCTGTCTGGGGTAATCAAACACGCTTACTACCCTCCATCCCATTGGACATCCTGAAGGGGTTGACCCTTCCTGTTGTAGCCAGGCAATCATTCTGACCACACAAGGAACTTCTGGGATGCATGCATGGATGGGACACTGGGTCTGACCTCGAGGATTGGATCTGAGTCCAGCTTTCCCAAAGGGCTCAGGTCCACAAATGGGTTTCCTGCAAGTCAGTCCAAGCCCAGGGATCCCTGCTGGCCTTGGGGCCTTGGTGAGACTGACAACTAACCTGAACTTAGGGTACCCTCTAGTGCCCAAATGGCTTAGGTGACCAGAACTTAGGGAACATAGTAGCCAGTCTGCTTGGCCTCTCTGAAAGGCCCACTTAAAATAGACAAGCAGAAATCAGGCTATTCAAAAGCTTCCCTTTTCCCTGCTCCGCCACATGAGGAGCAGCACGAGACCCTCAACAAAAGCCAAACAGATAAAGCCGCTTCGCTTGGGTTCCAGCTTCCAAAACTGCGAGCTAAGTACATCTCTCTCATTACAGCAACAAAAGTGGACTATGATACCTACCACCAAGGGTTTCTAAGAGAGGAAGAAGTGCTTCATTAATATGTGCTTAGCACAGTTTCCAAGTTCCTGGCATACACTAAACAGTTATTAAGTAATGTGGGCTGGGCACTGTGGCACAGCAGGTTAAAGCCCCGGCCCACAGTGCTGGCGCCAGTTCGAGTCCCAGCTGTTCCACTTCCAATCCAGCCACCTGCTAATGTGCTTGGGAGAGCAGCAGAGGATGGCCCAAGTCCTTGGGCCCCTGCACCCCATGGGAGACCCAGAAGAGGCTCCTGGCTCCTGGCTTCAATGGGATCAACTCTGGCTGTTGCAGTCATTTGGGGAGTGAACCAGCAGATGGAAGACCTCTCTCTCTCTCTCTCTCTCTCTGTCTCTGTCTCTGTCTCTACCTCTCTCTGTAACTCTTTCAAATAAATAAAATAAATCTTAAAAAACTAAGTAATTGTTTCTTTAGAGAAACAACAGAAATTACAAAATAGCCACGTAAGACAGTTACTCTAATTTTTCCATTTAGCAGTGTGTCATGTGCATAATATCAAAATAAAGGCATGACACTGCAAGTGGGAGCTATACTTCATGTTTTTTCATTAATTTAAAAGAAGCTGATAAGCCTCAGCCAAAAGTGCTCAGATTCGCACCCACCCGTCTGCTCTCCCCACACATTCCTGTGTGTGCCTACAGTGAAACAGAAACTCCAGGTAAGAGGCCTGGGTCCCGGACAGACAGCGCAGACGTCACCTTTCTGCTCGGCCAGCTCCCACAGTTCCTGCGCAGCTGCCAGGGACAGCGTCATGGGGTATTCCACGAGGACATGCTTGCCAGCCTTGAGGAACTGCCTGCGGCAAAAGACAGGAAAACAGGGAAGGAACACTTCAAATCAGCGTCACTGAGACGCTCTGCACGGCAGAGAGCAGATTCTAAACGCACTCCTGGAGTCTCTGGGTGTGACTCTGTCATGAAGGGGGTGGAGTCAGCCCCAGAGGAGATGGACGACCTCAGTGTACACTGCACCACACCGTTATGCACATATTCTCCTGCTAGCGGGGACGGAAGCACTTGCTACTTCTGTGTTAATTCTTCACCTATTCTTTTTTAAAAATTAAGTACTATTAAGAAACACGCATTAACAAATAAGTTGCCTGTTACCATGACAACTGCGAATAAAGGTTACAAACCCCATGCCCCCTCGCTCCTCCGCCTGAAGCAGTCTGAGCTTCCCCGATGGCATCTGACCTGGCCCTGAAGTCTGAGGGGCTGACTTCCAGATGCATTTCCCTCCGAGCAGCACAGGCAGGAACTTGGGCGTTTTGTGGGGCTTCGTCCGCAGGGGACAGGGGAGCAGGGTTAGGAAATGCAGGGAAACAACGACACAGAAGTTGCTGGAGGCCTCACTGTGAGGCAAAGTCTCAGGACTTTGGTTTGCATTCCCTAGATACCAGGGCACAGACACTTCTATGCAGGGTCGCTTCTTACAGGAAATGTACTCTGGTGCCACTCAGGTTAAGGTGACCCAGAGAAACAGCTCTCCTCGTCTAGATGGAGACTGACACAGGGGAGAGCTTCCGCCTGGGCAGCAGCGTGGTGGCAGCATGGTGGGAAGCTGCGATTGAAGAAGCAGCTGGCGCCTCCCTATCAGCTAGCAGCTCCCACCTGCGGCTCCTCTGATGAGGCCTGGACTCACTAAATGTTACAGGGTTCTAGGCTTTCTAGGTGAGGGAGGGCAGCATATCACTTCCATTCCACAAAGTCATTTCCTCTCTCGGATGACCTTACTAGGTCTTTATTCAGTTATCTCATGGCAAAAATACTACCTGTTAAAGGAACTCTCAGGTATTTCATGACATTGAGAGTGCAAAGTGTGAGATGCTGGAAGCAGAACCCAGCTTAAAAAGGATGATAACAATTCACCAAGGGTGTGGCTGCAGAGCCTGAGCTGTATTATTAGACAATAAAGGCAAGCACTGTGCAAACCAATCTCAATGAGTTTCTAACAAAGAAGTAAAACATTCTTAATGTTTCGAACTACAGTGTACTAAGTACTGGCTTTGCTGGTTTTTACGCCCTTATACATTTATAAACGACAATAATGTGAAAGCATTCCTGCAGCTTCTAAGGTCACAGAACAACCACAGTTTCCCCACTGGCTGTGAGGACCCCTGTGCAGGGCTTCAGCTTGCCCAGCCCTGGTCATGGTCCTGCCCTACGGTGATGCAAGGCAAGGATTCTCTGCCCCGAAGCCCCACCTGATGTAGTCCTCGTGGCTGGAGCTTTCGCTGCAGATAAACGCGGCCTCCACCTCGGGGCTGGAGAGAGCATCCTCCAAGGAGATCTGCTGGACCCCCGCGATGCTCCCGAGCTCGCGTCTGTTTCAGAACACGGAGAAATGAACTCAGGGGCTGACTGAAAGTCACATAAAGTTAGATAAATGAGAATCCTCCTCCTCCCCACCCTCCCCACAACGATCCGTGAGCAGCTTTTGGAAATGAACAAATTAATGTCCTCCATCCCACTCTCAGAGTATTTTCCATGAAACAGTGAGAAGAATAGCCCCAGGGCTGGAGTCAAAGGACTTAGCATCAAGTGCCAGCCCCACCACAACAGCATATATGTCCTAGACAAGCCTTGTAATTCCTCCATAAAATTAAAAGTGTGATGATATCCTTTCATCTCGTGAGAAATGAACTCTGTTGGTTTATAGTTACAAATACTTCTTATGACTACCGAATCTAATCCAAATCCAACACACAAATGCCTTTGAGGTACAAACTGCCTTGTGACTATAAACTCCTTCCTATACTTTATGGCCTAATAATGGTCAAGTGGAGGGCAGGTGTCACTGCCTCCTTTATGACTGGGCCAACTCCGTGGCTCACTAGGCTAATCCTCTGCCTGCGGCGCTGGCACCCCGGGTTCTAGTCCCGGTTGGGGTGCTGGGTTCTGTCCTGATTGCTCCGCTTCCAGGCCAGCTCTCTGCTGTGGCCTAGGAAGGCAGTGGAGGATGGCCCAAGTGCATGGGCCCTGCACCCGCATGGGAGACTGGGAGAAGGCACCTGGATCCTGGCTTCGGATGGGCGCAGCGTTGGCTGTAACGGCCATTTGGAGGGTGAACCAATGGAAGGAAGACCTTTACCTCTTGTCGCTCCCCCTCTTCATGGAGGAACAACACTAAACCCTGACTAGGTTTCCTATCCGAGTCACGGCACCATTATGTCTCCTAGGCTTCATATCCAAGTCACGGCACCATTATGTCGCTCCCCCTCTTCGTGGAGGAACGACACTGGACCCTGCGCTGTTCTTTTATCTGCTCGGCCCTTCCCGGGTTTGCTGCTGGTTCTTCCCGGGTTAGCTACCGTCCCTTCCACCTCCGTGGAAGGCGGTGCCCCCTGCCACTTTCCCCACTTCCGCGGGGGAGCGGCACACCGCTGGCCGGCTCTCTCGGGGGCTGCTCAGATGTTCCTCAGGTGTTCCCCTTAGATGTTCCTGGTGCATGTTGTCTCTCTCCTCCTTTATAGTCCTCTTCCACCAATCCCAACTCTGCTACCCACACGCCGAGCACGCTGCTCTCCTCCAATCAGGAGCAGGATCAGCTCCTACAGCTCCTACAGGTCGAACTGGAGGCAGCTGTGTAAAAGCTGTTTATACTCCTCTCCCAGCGCCATATTGTGGGAGAGCAGATGCATAGAATAAGTCTCAATTCCAGTAACTTAGTCTAGTCCGAGTTGCTCCCCACACTCTGTCTCTCTCTCTCTCACTGTCTAATTCTGCCTGTCAAAAACAAAACAAAACAAAAATAAAAAAAACTGAGCAACTGAAGTCCAGAGAGGCAGTGGCTGTGGCTGTCACAGCTAACCAGGAGCAGAGGGGCGACAGGAACCCAGAGCCTTCTGAGTCCTACAGAGCATGGTGGAACTCCCACTTTAGAAAACCGGAAGCCCTGACTGTATGCTGCCCTGGCAGGAGAGCAGTTTGTGGGAGCCACTGTCATGGAAGAAAATGGGAAACCAGCAGGAGGCTCTCAGCCAACGGGAGCTGCAGCGGGCAAAGGGAGCACAGGGAAGTTGGGCTCCCAAAGGATATTGTGCTAGGTTTCTGCTTATGAGATTGTCCAACCTACACTGCTTGAGTTGACCAGTATTTACTGTTCGTCTGCTGAGTAATGAGTAAATGCTAGGAACTGCAGGAGAAATCATGGAGAATGAATTAAAATTCTCACCTTCCAATCAGCTCATAGTCTGGTAGATGGGGAAAAGATGAACACATACACACACACACACACACACACACACACGCACACACACACACACACCTATCAACAACGTAAGACAAACCTGGGAAATGTGCTGGGACATACGGGTGGGAGACTCAACGAGGGCCAGGAACACGTCTAGCAGAGGGGTTCAGAAAACACTTCCTGAAGAGGTGCTAGAATTTAGCAGGTAGATCATGGGGAACGAAAGCAGTCTGACAATGGCAGGGCTTCCATGAAGCACAGGTTGTGAGCTGGCCACCTTCCCCTAAAACCTGGGAGTTCAGGAGTCCCCACAGTGTCAATCTTGGCAGCCAATTCGCACAGGACTCACTTCAGGGATAAGGAGAGGTCCCATTTCAGCCTTGAGCTCAAGAGCTGTGCCTGATCCCAGCTCCAGATAGGGATAAAATAGGGGTTTCAGTGCAGGTTAATAATAACTTTGGGGATCAGTGCTGTGGCGTACTGGGTAAAGCTACTGTCTGCAGTGCCAGCATCCCATATGAGTGCTGGTTTGAGTCCTGGCTGCTCCCTTCTGATCCAGCTCTCTGCTATGGCCTGGGAAAGCAGTAGAAGATGGCCCAAGTCCTTTTGGCCCCTGCAACATGTGGGAGACCTGGAAGAAGCTTCTGGCTCCTGGTATTACAGCAATTTTGGGGAGTGAACCAGCAGATAGAAGGCTTTCTCTCTCTTTCTCTCTCTCTCTCTCTCTCTCTCTCTCTCTCTCTCTCTCTCTGCTTCTGCCTCCCTGTAACTCTGCCTTTCAAATAAATAAATTAATTAATATTAAAAAAAATTGTTTGATCTCCCATTTGTGTGTATCTCCTTTGCAATCTCACAGGAAAACATTGGCCAAAAGCAGATCCCAGCACTTCTTGGTCTCTGTAGTCCTCCAAAGCCCCTTAAATTAAATCCTTAAAAGAGAGACCGGGTTTTGAGACAGGCAGACTGGAAGAAAATGGTGCCATGAACTGAAATATGAAAAAAGACCCACATAGACCATCACAATTACTTGTGCTGTGAGTAAATGTTTATCTGATGTTTCCAAAGTACACGAAAATAGAGACAGGCCCAGATTGCTCAATTCCATGTCTCCATGCCCAGTCGAGTGCCTTGAATCAAGTTAGCAATTAATATTAATAAACGATGTTACACAAGACTACTTTAGGAAGTGACTTATTGTATGTTTGTGTAGAAGTAGAGGGACTATTTGAGGTTACTGAAAGGAAGAAGGTGACCCATTTGCTTTTGACTGAGTTATAGGAGACAAATAACTCCTTAAACAAAAGTGGGGCTCAAAATTACTAAATGGGAAAAGAACACAGTGTTTAAAAGACAGGCTTGGAATCAGGCAGATCCAGGTTCAGATCTAGTTCGTGAGACCTTCCAGTTGTGTGACCTCAGGCAAATGACTTGGCTCTTTTGTGTCACACTTCCAGGACTTGTAAACCAGGACTGGCAATGGCATCTGGAGTGCGTAGCATGCAAATCCCAAGGTCACCACAAGCATGACTGTTGTGACAGCTGACATGACCATTAACTGGCACATACCTGACGCCTTCTTTCAGGCCACATCCATCATGTGCTTGCTGTAACTGACGGACCCTGTGCTCATTCTCCCCATTTCTCCTTTAAAGACTTGTTTATTTATCTACTTACTTATTTTAAGGAATTTATTAATACACTGGTTTCTCAGAGTCACAGCAAATGCATAATCACTACAAAATAATTCTCATCAATTCTTATGTTAATGTGATACTAATACAAAGAGAACATATTCAAACCAATGTTTAAGCATGATATATTGGGGTCAGTGCTGTGGCATGGTAGGCTAAGCCTCTGCCTGCAGCAACAACATCCCATATCAGCACCAGTTTATGTCCCAGCTGTTCCTCTCCCAGTCCAGCTCTCTACTACAGCCTGGAAAAAACAGTAAAAAATGGCCCAAATGCTTGGGACCTTGCACTCACATGGGAGACCTGGAAGAAGCTCCTGGTTCCTAGCTTCACATCTGCCCAGCTCTGGCCTTTGCAGCCATATAGGGAGCGAAGCAGTGGATGGAAGACCTTTCTCTCTGTCTCCCCCTCTCTCTGTCTGTAACTGTACCTCTGAAATAAATTTAAAAATCTTTAAAAACTAAACAAAAAAAAGAATGGGGGTCGGTGCTGTGGCGTAGCGAGTTAAGCCACTGACTGCAGTGCCAGCATCCCATATAAGCACCAGTTTGAGTTCCGGATGCTCCACTTCTGATTCAGCTCTCTGTTATGGCCTGGGAAAGCAGTAGAAGATGGCCCAAGTCCTTGGGCCACTGCACCTGTGTGGAGACCTGGAAGAAGCTCTTGGCTCCTGGCTTCAGATGGGCACAGCTCTGGCCATTGCAGCCAATTGGGGAATGAACCAGCAGATGGAAGACCTCTCTCTGTCTCTCTCTGCCTCTCCTTCTCTCTGTGTAACTCTGACTTTCAAATAAATCTTTTTTAAAAAAAAGAATGATAAACTACTATAGTTTTAATGATATATGATTATTTTAAAATTTACTGTATATATTTATTTGAAAGGCAGAATGGCAGAGAGGGAGAGACAGAGAAAGAAAGAGATAACTTCCTTCTGCTAGTTTACTCCCCAAATTGCCTCAACAGCCAGAGCTGGGCCAGGCACTCCATCTGGGTCTCCCAAGTATCTGGGACATTAACAGCTGCCTCCCTGGGTATATGTTAGGAGGAAGCTGGATCAGAAGCAGAGTAGCCAGAACTCGAACTAGCACTACCCACAGTCAGTGGCTAAACCCACTGCACCACAATGCAGGCCCCTCCCCACCTGTCTTTGCAGTCCCCATGTGGCTATGTATCTCAGCAGGAAGCCAGGCACTCATCAGTTCCCAGGACGATCCGTACTTGAACTTCTGTGGGGCTGATGCTTAGCAGTCTCTAAGGAGCAGCTGGCTGGGTCTGAAAAGTCTCCACTTAGTCCTGTGGTCTAATCTGTCTCACTGGGCTTTCCCTGAATTACAAGGCACAGGGCGAGTCAAGCCACCTGGACACGAAGCCAATCAGGTTCAGGCAGGCTGAGGAAGAGTCTGGATTCTGTAAGTTCCGCATGCGCACAGAGCCGGCTCTGCCAACACCAACCACCACCACGCCGAACTTCCTCTCGGGCTGAAACACAAGGGACCAAGGTGAGGCTTAAAAACAATCCAGGCATCTAGCAGAGAAGAGCAAAACAAGGACCAGCCAGAGTCCTGATAAGCAGAAGACACCAACGCAGAACACACAAGAAGTTACAGCACCAAGTGTGGGATAAGACACTTCTGCAAACGAGAGCTCGGAGACGAATCAGCGCCACCCAACATGTTTCTGCAGGTGCCCTGACTGCGCTGAGAGCCCTCCAAGCCCCCGCTGAACAGGATCCCCCATTTGACTCTCCACTTCCACTGCCATCTCTTCAGTGATGAGGGGTTTCTCCCTAAAGCCACAACCAGCCCAAGCAGGTACCTCTGTCCTCTCTGAATTCTTCCTGCAGATGACGAGGCAAATCTGACCCAGCTGGGTGTCACTGAGCGGTCATGACCGCTTGGTGAGATGCTTGCAGGCAAGGCCAAACAGGCAAACCACGCTCCGCCTCCTTATCCAGACCAGGACTCCCATGGTCTAACTGCGCATTATGGCTTTCTGAATTCCACCAACTTCAGCCTCACTCTACTGTGGGACCTTACAAATCACCCATGTACACTGCTGGAGGCTGAGTGTGAGTGGCTTTGACAATGAAAAATCAAGTCAACTTTTTCAACTTATGCAGCAACTCAGGATAATCCAAACTGATGAAAATTATCTCTGCGCACCCCTCAAACCCAGTTTTTCTTGGATGTCTCTGAATGTGGAAACATGAATGCCCCCTCCAACTGCCCCTTCCCTTCCCCTTTGATACCCACTGATTCCTCCCCTGTTCCTGTGCCCACTGCTCTACTCTTGGCCCAGGATTTCTTCCAAATGTTCAGAGATTCTCTAAATGACTTTCTATTATTGATTTCTTATTTAATTCCATTGTGTTCACAGAATATTCTTTACCAAATCCTTTTAAATTTATTGAGAAATGTTTTATGATCCAGAATATTGCCCATCTGGTAAATGTTCTGAGCACATGGAAAAGAACCTGTATTCTGCCATTGTTGAGCAGAGTGTTCTACAAGTCTGTTAGGTCAAGCTGGTTAACAATGCTGTTCAGGGCTTCTGGATCCTTGATGATTTTCTGTGTACTTGCTCTATAAATTATTGAGAGGTAATAAAATCTCTAAATATAATGGTAGAGGTTGGCACTGTGGCATAGCAGGTAAAGCCGCTGCCTACAGTGCCAGCATCTCATATGGGCACCAGTTTGAGTCCCGGCTGTTCTACTTCTGATCCAGCTCTCTGCTATAACCTGGGAAAGTAGAAGATGGCCCAAGTCCTTGGGCCCCTGCACTCTCGTGGGAGAATTGGAAGAAGATCCTGGCCTCTAGCTTTGGAACAGCCCAGCTCCAGCTGTTATGGATGAAGATCTCTCTCTCTCTCTCTCTCTCTCTTCTCTCTCTCTCTGCCTCTCTATAACTCTGCCTTTCAAATAAATAAATAAATAAATCTTTAAAAATAAATAAATAAATAAAATGGTAGATTTGTGTACTTTCCCCTCAGTTCTATCAGTTTTTTAATTGTATTTTGAAAGTCTATTGTTAAGCCGGCGCCGTGGCTCAATAGGCTAATCCTCCACCTTGCGGCGCCGGCACACCGGGTTCTAGTCCCGGTTGGGGCGCCGGATTCTGTCCCGGTTGCCCCTCTTCCAGGCCAGCTCTCTGCTATGGCCAGGGAGTGCAGTGGAGGATGGCCCAGGTGCTTGGGCCCTGCACCCCATGGGAGACCAGGAAAAGCACCTGGATCCTGGCTCCTGCCTTCGGATCAGCACGGTGCGCCGGCTGCAGCGGCGGCCATTGGAGGGTGAACCAACGGCAAAGGAAGACCTTTCTCTCTCTGTCTCTCTCTCTCACTGTCCACTCTGCCTGTCAAAAATTAAAAAAAAAAAAAAAAAGAAAGAAAGTCTATTGTTAGGCACATACTTGTTTAAGATGGTTATAACTTCTTAACTGACTCCTTTATCACTCTGAAATGACTGTTTTTATTCCTAGAAATATACTTTTCCATGTAATTTATTTCACCTGATATTAACAATCTATTTCTGATTTCCATTGATCAGTGCTAGCATAGCACATTTTTTTCTCATCCTTTCACTTTTAATGTTTTATGCTCTTTTATCTCAAGTAGGTTTTTTATAGGCAGAATATAGCCAGGTATTTTTTTTTATTTAACCTAACAACTTGTGCCTTTTATTTGAAGTGTTCAGATAGTTTCATTGTGATTATTGATATGGCTGCATTTTAATCCAAATTTAACCCAAATCTTGCTCTTTGTCCAACTGATTCTTCCCCACCCTATTTATGCATTCTTTTGAATTAAGAATATTCTTATGATTTCATTTTACCTCATTTGTTGGGTGTTTGTTATAACTTTTTTAGAACCTATTTTAAGGCTTTTTTATTAGGCATATTTTACTTATCACAATCTACTTTAAGCTAATATTATACCATTTCACACGTAAGAACCTTACATTAGCATATCCTCATTTTCTCTCTGCTGTACTTTGTACCATTGTTGTTACACAATTGCCTTTCATTTTGTCATAAACCTCACAAGAACCAGTCAGGGTTCAGTCTGGAAAACAAAAACCATTCCATGTACAGTCATGCATGCCATTTGGCAATGGAGATATGTTATGAGAAATGCTTTGTTAGGCAATTCTGTCACTTTGCAGACATCACAGGAAACTAGATGTGCTGCCTACTACACACCTAAGCTATATGTTATAGACACTGTCAGATATGCTGCTACCACGACCAAGGCATCATATGACTGTGTCCTAAGTAGAAAGAATTTTCACACATGGCATCAGAGGTTACATAACCACTGCAGACCCCAGGGAACTTGAGCCAGAGGAGTCACCTGGCCATCTCCCTGCAGTCCTGAAGCGAGTGACGTCCCACCTGTCCAGAGCCAAGCTGTCTGAAAGCTTCTGCAGCCTTTCTTGGCCTGCAGAGCCTGAGTGCCCACTGCTGCTACGCCACACATGGGCCTTGGCTCCCACATCGGCCTGGAACTGACCCCAGGAATAGCTCTTTCTTCAGCCATGCCAGTCTCCCGAGAGTGCTTTTAACTGACTGACTTCACAAAGAAAAGGGGACTCTGGTGGATGTAGTTTCAGGCTCCTCTTCTGTAAGACAGAGATGAGTTTAGAAAAGAGAACACAACAGGGAATTTAACCCAAGAAGTCCCTTTTGGGCTAGCAGTACAGTTGTTTTTCTTTTTATTTTTTTAAGGTATTATGATTTATTTGACAGATGGGGAAAGACTGCCAGAGAGAGACTCCCATTCATTGGTTCACTTTCCAAAGGCTTGAAATGGCCAGGGCTGGGCTGGGTGCCAGAAACTCTGTCCAGATCTCCCACACGGTGCCAGGAACCCAATCACTTGAGCTGCTACCATTGCTTCCCAGGATCTCTATCAGCAAGAAGCTGGAGTCAGGAGCCAGAGCTGGGAGGGAAACCCAGGTGCCCTGATAGGAGACAAGGGTGAATCAGCCTACCACACAGCCTAGTTCTTTAGTTTTTGTTTTTCGACAATCTCCTTACCAACAAAACAAAACAAAAAACAGTAAGACTGCCTCTGAAGAAATCTGTACAGAAAAAAACACATATCTCTGTTCAAATATTTTTCCCTTTAAACCAGAAAATGACACGTTATCTTCTTATTAGGTTAAATATTTATGGTATCCCCGAGACCATTGAATTACTACATTGCAGATAACAATCAGTATAATAAGCTTCTATTAGCTTCCAAAAAGTCACATAGTGAAGCAATAGCTACATTATCTAGAAATAAGCCAAATAGCTTTTTTATCATTTCAATAGTTAATGATAACACACAAACTTGTGCACGAAACCTGGCTTGCATAGCAGTCAGACTGAATTATGAACTGCCCTAGAATTCCTTTGCAAAGCTGACACACAGGGACTGGATATGGGTGAGAACACTGGCAGCCTAACAGTCAGTTCCTCTTAAGGAAAGAACTTTACTTTTGAGGAAGATCACTTGCTACATTTTGTGAGGCCTCGTCAGCGCATGTTCTGAAAAGAAACTGCCAATCAAAGAGATGATTATTCCAGAGTGACAGCTACAACTTTTAGGGTGAGGACCTTGAAGCAGATGAGACAGAAAGAAGGGGAAATTGCACAGAGGTTGGAGGAGGCTGAAGTCTACAGAGAAATGCTCAGTAGAGCAGAGGGCAGTGGGTTTCGGCAAACCAGGATATCCAAAATGACACTTCCAGCCATCTGCTGTGCTCTTCTATTATATCAAGCCCTACAGAGGTGGTATTTTAAGAAACTAGGAATCAGGAGCAGAAAAGGCACACACAAAGGGAAAAGACTGATTCAAACACAGAGTGAAACTCTTCCCCTAATCTGGGACTCAGAGAAACTGGTGTCTGATATTCAAGACCTGAAAATCGATTTTATAAAAGCCAGGATTAAGAGAACGTATCCTACTAACTTAGGTTAAAAAAAAAAAAACTTTTGGAGACCAAAAGTGTAGAACTTTAGGGTATGAGGCATGAAGGCAGGTGCTGGACTATTGATCTGGGAGTAAGAAAGGAGATTCCAGACAGTCAGAAAAAACAAGTTAGTGGCAGACACGTGGCCCATTGGTTAGGACACCACTTGGGACACTGGCAGCCCATACTAGAGTGCCTGGCTCAAGTCCCAGGTCCACTCCCAACCCCAGCTTCCTGCTAAGGCAAAGGTGATGACCCAGGTACTTGGGTCCCTGCCAGCCACGCTGAAGACCCGGACTGTGCTCGAGGCTCCTAGCTTCAGTCTGGTCCAGTCCTGGCTGCTGCAGGCATTTGAAGAGTGAAACAGTAATGGAAAGCTCTCTCTCGCTCTCCCCCCACCCCATACCACTCAAATAAATATTTTTTCAAAATAAGAACAAGTTAGTATTTTTTCTTCCATTAGTATTTTTCATGCACTTGTCTGCAAGGATCACATTGGCTAGCAAGGGAGAACAGGCATATT